AAGTGAGGGAGAAAATTCATTTCTCTCTAAATTTCTAATTCGAAAGCTTAGTCTTTTTATGCAAAGAGTTTCAATAAATAATTTACACATTGTATTAATAAATTGTAATAAATAAATTAATTACTTCTTTATTTATTCAGTATTCGATTAACTTATCTTTTTTTAATTCAGATATAATGCTAAAATTGATCGACTGTAGTTATACTTTTAGTTATATAAGTCTTTCTTAAAACCAGTGGAAATCAAATTTCACAAACGTGATCCGCACAAATTGTCAGCACATTTTGCGTGTTCATGCTTTCGCGCCTTTTTATACACATCTACTTATGTATAATTTCGTCGAATTCATTCGTGAAAGAACACGTTCGAACGAGAAAATTCGAGGAATATCGATAAACGATATCAATTATTAGCAATAATGCGTGCTTTATCATCTCAAATCGCTTATAATTTCTCCGATTATACAATAACAGTTTGAGCAACGTCGGTATGTTTATCGTTATTCCTTTCCGTATTGTGTAAAACCGTAAAAATTCCTTCCAACTCCACATTCGAATGCGTGAAGAACTGTTTATAATTGTAACCATATTTTACAATCAAAACTTCATTTTTATTAAGTCACTATGAACAGAATAAAAATAAGGATAGAAACATAGAAATAAAGGAAGAGAAGTAGAATAAAAATAAGGGAAGAAAAACAGAATAAAAGTCTAATCTACTCGAGATCGAAAGAAATCCAAAATCAATTTCACACCAATTAAGGAAGAAAGGAATCTACGTATAAAACTGTGCAAGAAAATCCAAGGGATTCAAAGTAGACCAGAATGAATCGAAGCGGACAAGCAGCAATGCACTCGAAAAAGAAATCGCCGACAGATTCGACGAGGAAACATCGCGACCGAATGACGGCGTAAGGGATGAACGATGAAATTAGCGGAAGAAACGACAAAGTTGAGTACGCCAGGTCACGAAAAGGGTGGGGTAATCGCATTATTAAGAACTTCCTTGTGAAACTCGACGTGGCTACCGGAAAGGGGGCCTTCGAATATAGGTTAAGACTTCCACACAGTCGTCAGCCTAGTTGTACGAATAACCAAGAAAGTTGGCTACACAAAGACAAAAATGCCTCCGGTATATATGCGTCCCTAACGGACTCCGGACTTGGTGCACTTGGGAAAAAGGTAGATCCAACACAGTTGGAAACTAGCGTTCTCCAGCTCTTTTCTGCGGACCTCGCGAAGATTCGTGATATCCCTAGAGGCAACGAGATCTTCTAACGATTTCCACCGTAATATGGCATTCAAGTAACGCCTTCGTTTGTTAGAGACGAGGAAGTTTAGTCTCGCCCGTTGTGCGCCGAGGGAAGCCAGAATTTGGGAAATCCGTTTAGGAGATGTTGATGAAGAATGACTGTTACACGAAGCTCAACGATGAAAAAAATGTAACAGATTGAAACGAATCGCGAGGAATGTCAATTATTTATGATTTAAAAACGACACTGAAATTTTGGAAGTTTTCTGTGACTGTAGGGGAGAAGTATGATTATTTTGGACAATTTTTAACCCTTTATAACACCATGTGACTTGAAAGTTACATATCTACTTAATTAATTTACATTGTATACGTCTCATTTTATTTGTTTATTGCTATACTATTGCATTATTACCAGCAAATTTTTTAAATAATAATTATTAATGCTTGCTTCTCCAGAGAAAATGTCAAATTATAATTAATCCTAATTTTTCTTCTCACGAATGAAGAGAACTCGGATTACAGAGGGTTAATATCTTGTTTATTTTGTACAAACGGGGAAAACAGGAAATTTTTGAAAAAGTAGATTGCATGTTAGTAAAATCGATATGCATGTTTATTCAGCGTGTAAATAGTGTTAATTTAATGATTGAATCAATATTTTTTAGTCAAGGAAAAAGGGTACCTATTTCTGTCACAGTCTTCGAGCAATTAACACCCGCAGGTAAATAATTCCCAACGAATATTTCACAAATGAATCCACGAACCTTGTGTCCATGTACCTCTATGTGCCAAAATCAAAAAACAATAAAATTGCGAGCAATTAATACTCGCGAGTAAATACTCCTCAAAAAATATTTCACAAATAACCCCATGAACCCTATTTTCATTCACACACACCTCTATGTATAAAAATGAGAAGAAAAAATAATAAAATTGGCAATGAATAGAAGAATATGACTGAAGGGATATTAGAATTTTCTAGGATCGACAACAGAAAAAAAAAGAGAAAAAAAAAACAAGAAAATTGATCGTTCAGGGTCAGTTTCATCGTGAGAGGAATAACATACGTGCCATTGTACCCGGCAGCATTTCCCTTATTTGTATTCCACGAGGAGGAACATGATAGGAGCCAATGGAGAAATCACAAAAGAACCGTTCAGATAAGTCACGTTCACCTTGACGGAGTTTCGGAACGGTCTATAAAAGAGACGTACACCTTCTTGATGGCACAGTCACAGTAACAGTGAAACCGTACAAAATGTTTCGTTCGATTGCTGTTGTCCTCTTCACGGCCCTGCCACTGCTTCAGGCTGCTTGTGCTATTGATATTTCCCAGTATAAGAACGTTCAGTTGGAATTCAACGACAACGATGGTGTGCCACGGACAAAGTTGGTGAGTGATCCTAACGCATCTTTCTTGACACTGTCGAGTACCTTGAGCTTCAAGTGAAAATACGATGCACGCTTTTACTAGGATAATTGTGATTATAGGATATGACGAAGTTGTTGTTGCGAATGAAATGAACGATTGACTTGGGAGGTGTGGAAATTGTTAGATTTATTCGAATGTTATTGAAGGCAACTGTTTTTAGTTTGCATTTTTTAAAGTAAACTACGTAATATAATTTTGGAAAAAATATAAAATCACATGAAAGTTAGATTTATTCAATTTTGTAAAATGAACGCTATGGATCGGATAACAGAATTTTGAGAAAAATAGAAAATCACGTGTAACACTAAAATTTTAGAAAAATCTGAATTTTTGCAAAAACTCGAGAAAATTTCTGCACAGAAATTTTCATATCTCTTCTTTAGTATTTTTTTAAGGTGAACTGTGTAACAGAATTTTGAGAAAAATAGAAAATCACGTGTAACACTAAAATTTTAGAAAAATCTGAATTTTTGCAAAAACTCGAGAAAATTTCTGCACAGAAATTTTCATATCTCTTCTTTAGTATTTTTTAAGGTGAACTATGTAATAGAATCTTGAGAAAAAATATAAAATCACGCATAGTACCTTGGAAAAAGCTGAATATCTACATTGACTCAAGAAACAATTTCTCGACAGAAATTTTCATATCTTTTTTTCGAAACAGTTGGGTTTGAATCCTGAAGAACGCGGACCCGGATTCATCGGAGACTTGGTCGTCGGTCAACGTTACTCAGATGAAACAATTTTCCGTCGAGTGATCGAATTCGAGAATCCAACCAGCACTGTTCAAGGAACAACTCTGAGTTTAAGTATCTCCAACGGTAAGATTTCTATTTATTTACCTAAGTCGCAAATCTACCTTATCACAACAAATAAAATTCTTGGTAAAACCAAAATTCGTTGTTACAAAAAATCTAGGAAACAAAAAAAAAAAATGGTGACATTTCGTGTGTAATTTATGAAACAACATTTTAGAGTAGAAAGATAATTTTACATAAATATTATTACGCAGGAGTTATCCACTATATCAGCGCAAGGAACGCGCAAGGCAGTTACGGGGTTATCTGTGACAATCCAAACGTCTTAGGAGCATCCAAGAGCAGCATTAACCTTCGAGTACCTCCGAATTCGACAGCCATGTTAAGTCTGATCATTGCGGCGCATAGCCAAGTGCAGCGTAAATCGAAGTCATACATGGTCCAAGATTAAAGATAATTAAACATCTACCAACGTTATTTCATCGAGAAATAAGTTTACAATTTAAGCAGTACCTCGTTATATTACACGGTAATGTTAATAATTACTGGAAAATTTGTAGCTGAATTTAATTTAAATTACGCGATATTGTAAATTGTTTAAGTAAGAAAGTGAATAAACCACAGCACTATTCTATATGTTGAGTATTGTTTCATTTCTCGTTAATTACTATCCTGTACGCACTTAATTATTTTAATTAGTAACGTAATTAATTGTTTGATTTCATTCGTATTGATATTCGTTGGATTAAAATATAGAATCTTCTGTAATCTTCTATTTTACGTTCTATAAATGGTTGTAATTTAACCGTATTGAAAAACAATTTAATACAGGTTACGCTTTAAAGAGTATTCTGTTTAAAAAATGTTCGAAAAATCATGCAAAATTTAATAGCATGCTTTCAATAAAAAGTTAACGTTTCACGTATTTGTTGAATAATTTTTGCACATCTTTCAAAATTAAATAAAAAAATATTAAAATAAAAAGAAAGTTACATAGTATCTACGCTTGTTTATTAAAATGTTCACAAATAATTCAAATGCAATAAATTATTATTGTTTCCTGAGGCATTCGACAAATTTCATTATTTATATTTCATGGAATATATCTATATTTTATATTTACTTGAACATTTATCTTCAAATTATTCTGTGAATTCATATGAGTAACAAATTCGTCTAATTATAAACAAATATCTACACCGTGCATTGGTAAATTAACCTCCACTATTGATTTCAAAAACTACGATACATCTTTCGACACATTTTTACAAAAATAAAATGGATAAATATTTCCAAGCAAAAACCTCTCACTCGATAAATACAAATATAATTATTTATCACGCGTTTCACCTCACAATTATGAAATTAAAACGTCAGATTCATGGTTCGATATTGACCCAACTCTTCGATAAACAATTGTTAACAGTGCATTGTTCCTCCTCGACTCTCGCGTTCTAAATAATCCCGACCAATCAACATCAATTTTTCAGCACTTGCACTATTGTTGCAATTAACTGGCCATACACAGTGTGCAATTAGGGTTGCGCAACGACCGGCCGAACAATCCCACAAACAAATCACGTTTCGCGCACTCACACACAGCACGATTGTATGCGTAACAGGTGAGCCACCTGACAAATGTAAATTTCGCGAATACTATTTTCACAGCGTAACGTCAGCGCAGATTTTTATGCCCCCTTAGACAATGCTGATTCATGAATACAATACCCGTATATCAAGTACATTCCATGAATAACAAATTGGAGGACCACGCAGGACGAAGAGGAAGAATTTCGAGAAATGGGAGAATTATGGAGATACTCGGAGAAGGAAGTTTATGTCTTTGATTATTTACAGGTAAAATCGCGACGATCGTTGTGAAAAAGAGAAGTTAGAGGAAATTTCGCGGTAGATCACATAATTAAGAGGAGAAACGAAAATAATTGGAAATTTGGAACATTTAGTATTTCTTACAAAGGTATGTTTAATTTTTGAAGATGTGTTATTAAACATATTTTACTGTATTAATAGAATTTTGTTCTAGGACGAGTAATTATTTTGTTGAACGATACAAAGCTTATCGATTGGCGAATTGTAATAGGAGTGATTAATCAGTAACGTAATTAACAACTATCGCTAATTTGTTTTACAAATTGGCTGTGTTATTGTCATACAACAAGCATAAGTAATAAACCACTTTCTCTTTTATGACGAAGGTTCCTGTTTCCTTTAATGTTGGCTGACCTATAAATAATGGCAAGTCACCACTGTGCGATGTTGTGACGATCAGATAAGTGCGACTTTTAATTTTTTATAACACTTTCGATCATTTTGCTGATTCATGTTGAGAAAAGTGTCTTGAAGGAGGTATTGAAAACGAACTGCCCTTATTTCATAAAAGAATATTTACAAGAATTTAACGAATAAAGTGACATTACCAGAAGAAGTAAGTATTATCATGGTCGCAAAAAGATTCAAAGTCTGAATTGCCTTTAAATTTGCACAATATCTACAAATTACTACAATTTTCATTCTCTTCCCTAATTCTACATCAAAATAAGCCTCTGAAAATATTGTAATCAATTCTTCACTAACAACATACTATGCAGTACGCAATAAATATACAAATAAATTAATAACGAAAGAGAGACGAAAGTAACGTAGCATATCTTCGTTAATAAATTTCAATTATAATTCAAGTATTAATGAAATTCGTTAATTTATTAATTTCATCAACGCGATAATTATTGCGATATAATTTCACCGAGCCAGCAAATTTCCCAGAAACTGAGCAAGTATAAACAAACTCGGGGGGAAAATTACGTCGATATCTTCCCTCTGACACGACAGACGTCTGAAGATCGAAGAAAATTGCCGCAAACAATTTTTCCCCCCCTCTCTCTTTCTCTCTCTATATCTCCAATCATGGCGGACAAATACACAGAGGCGTAATAATAGCAACGCGTACATGGAACTTCCGCCAAGTGAAAAAGAACGAGCACGCGCAGAACAGCAACGAGAATCCTTAAGTGGCATAGCCGGAGTTTAACAGAGAATTCCGTCGAGTCTTATTACGGGAATAAACTCCCCGGGTAAATTACCCGCCTTTGCTGACGATATCTCAGCCTCCACCCTGCTTTGCCTACGAGTTCAACTTCCAATATTCGCGGCAATTTTCCAACAACCGTCTTTAACAAACCGACGGCTAATTGAATTTCACGATGAAGATAAACCACGTGTTTACCACCTAACGAGTCTCGTCCGTGGAAAATATCTTAATACCTTTTTTCAAGGCTCTTTTAGGATCGACGATGGAGAAAGTTGCGAATTTAAATTTTCGCCATTTCGAAATCGCGATTTTAAATCCAAGTTTGAATTATAATTTTGAAACTGTGAACCTATTTACAGCTGTTATTAATGTCGATTTTTGTTTCCGAGTTATGGTTTGTAAATGTGAGCAGAAGCTTAACCCTTTCTCTCGCGATTAACAGAGTTTAACCCTTTTCTACGAGTGTATTCAAGATTTGGTTTCACTGCGCCCTTGGCGCTTTCTGGCACAGTTTCACCTTTATTTAATCCTTCATTTTTGGACCTTGTGCGTTTTTAATCACATTAATTTAACGAAAGAATTTTTAATTTTGAAACGCCAAAATGAAAGATTTTTCGGACGCGATTGAATGTCTATAGTTTGGCAAGAGCGTTAGGTACCAAAATCTGCCGAGCCAAAGGATTAAAAATATCTAGAAATTCATATTTCCATAAATACGCAAATTTCTATATTTAATATTTTTTGGATAATTCTCAAGTAACAGTGATATTCTGTCGAATTTATGGAACTACTTAAAAGCAGTGGTAAATACGAATTGAATAGAAGGGTAAATACCAGGTATCCCGCTATAATTGGCAAAGAAATTAATTTAAAGTTTAATTCAAGAAGTTTGCACTAATTTCTGATGATTCAGTTCTACGTTATGCAATTAGAAACTGTCATTTTCGAAGCGTACACTCTAGTGATAAATTGAGTTGAATGTAAATTTACTTTTGGTAATTATGCTTTAGTATATAATAGCTTAGCAACTTCTAGTACCTTAATAGTTTTAAACTTGAAAATTGGTTTAGCAACTGTTAGAACTGAAAGTCTTCTACAGTACTACCGAAGCTTTACTTGCGAGTAAAACAGATTTTTCATAATCTAGTTTTGTCGTTATGAAGACTGAAACGTTAGTTGCATTTAACACATATATTATACATGTCTACAGGTCACAGAGAAGAAAAATTCGTACGATTTTTCTGCACTGAAATAAATACTGTTTTAACACTTTTTTATTGTGTATTTTATAATTATAATAATCACAGTCACCGTAATACATATTAAATGCACAAATTAATTTAGTGCCCTTTTGCACTTTGTGAAGAAAAATTTACCGACTCAAAACGCCATAATTTTTCGGAATTCGTCTGTTGCCTACTACATAAAAAAAGTGTCAACCAAAATAATGTGTTTGAATTTTTGTAAACAATCATTGAAGTTTGTGAAAAAGTGTCAATAAACAGTTATATTTTAGAACCTTAGAAATCCTCCTCCCTTAAATTTACAAAATTTACATTTACAGTACACTTTATCTTTAAAAAAATCTATCTTCGTATCTCTTCCCTTGGACTTACAGAATTCAAAATTTATATTTACACCTATATTTCATCTTTAAAAAAATCTATCTTCGTATCTCTCAACGACAACGTGAAAATCTCAACGCTTTTCGTCGGACTGATAAAAATCAGCGTTCTCCTAGCCAAAGGAATAAAACTCAACGGCAAGGGTTCGAAGCGGCCCGCGAAAATCCTCAACGAGGCGATAATTTCGCAAACATGGAGGGTGGCACAGCGAGGCACGCGAAGTTCGAGCTCGTAACAAACACCGTAAACTTTGCACAGATTTGCCCGTTCGTTTCCACTCGACCTTTAATTCTCACCGCGTAAAATTGTACGTTCGTTCGCTCCAAGTCACTTCTGAAAGAGCAATTATTCGGAGAGGCGCGTCGGCGCACCAGCAACCTAAATAGAGATCCTGCTCTCTTTTCCACGTTTCCACGGAGTTGATAGTTGCGCCACGGATGTATTGTACTTTTCGGAATCCCCCTGTTCCATCTGTGCTCGCGCGGTAATCACGGTTAGCGATGTTTACGCGACTATGATGGCCAACTGAGCGCCGTAATGGCGTATCGCCGAGGAGAAGGGCCCTGTAACGTCGACACTTGAAAGTGAAGGATGTAAATGTCCTGGAAATCTTTACTCCGACAGCCATTCTCCAGGTGAAAACGTGACGAAAATAGACTAAAAAACTGGATTATTGATGGAACGATGAATAGATAGATTGGCAGAATTTTTTATCTGGTTGTTTGTCTGTTATTATTTGGTTACGTTTCTCGTACAATTGTTTGCAAGAGTACCGATATATTTTGCAAATATCAGAAGAAAATTTAAAAAATCATACTAAATAAACATTAAAAAATATTCTCCTTCTTTATTTTCAGCGAAGCTTCAAATTCTTCAGGCACTTTGCAAAATTACCTTGCTACTTATTAAAATGAAAATTATCTACCAATCTTGCTTATTAATTACCAACACTTTACATTTCAGGCAACGGTATTTTCGTGCACACAGAATTTATAAATAAAATTTATTCAGATATAATTCAGAGTACTTGAAAACAGAAAACAACGAATATCAATCATTCCGCATAATACATATCGCGCTACAAATCATCGAAACCTTTCCACTCTACCATTAAACACAAACCGCTACGTCGAGACTATTTTTCACCATTTCTATCGCCACGTTACACGGTATTGTCAATGGGCGTCATGCAATCATTTCTCGTTACTTCACGAAACGCTCCTAGTTCCGTGATCCTTGCTCGATACAAGATAAATAGAACGAAGGGATATACGGCGCGGTGCAAGAGCTCCAAAGAAACTCTTGACCGTTCGTACGAAGTACATTAGTTACGAGTAACCTGGAAATTTCTCAACAGAACGACCAATAAACTGTATTCTTTGACCGCAAAGAGAGCTTTTCATCGGTTGACCGAGAATTTTCCTCCCCGTTGGAAACATATGGCAGCGGATACTCGAGGGATACATGGAAACGATGTAACACTTATCAGCATCGCATACTGGAGAAACAAATTCTGATCTAGAGTGCACAAATTTGTTTATTTCCTGCTTATTCCGTTGTTTACGATATATGTGTATTTAAATTTTGCACAAAGTTAATTAATCGACTGAGACCACTTCTTTTTCCAATTTATTACTCGCTATGCATTGTGCATAATTATTTACTAAATTAACACCTTACAGATATCACTGTAAAATATTTATACTGTAAACATGGATTTTATGTAATAAAAAGAAATTTTTTATTTCAATCACAATTTACTGAGTTTATCTTTTCACTTTTTTTTTTAAGTTTCCACAGGTGTGTGCAGTAATAATATATTCACTTGCAAGCATAAATAATATATAACTTTTTAATGGAGTATTTTTGCTAGAAAATGATTTTTTAAGCACAAACTTCAGGCAAACAATTGAGAATGAGATCAGTATAGTACGTGGCAAGCAGCAACGGTTCGTTAAACAACGGAGCTCGAGTACTGCAATGTAGACACGAATGTAATTCTAGCAAAAGAAAAACGAGAATTGTAGGAAATATAAAAAAGTTCGGTAAGAACCAGTGGAAATGCATTCTAAGTTCTCCGGCATCATCGTTGAAACGACGACCAAGGTAACTATATTAGAATTCAATTTCTGCACCAAGAAAGGAGCAACTCCCTGAGGTAGCTTAATGGAGACTGCTCGTTCAGGTTCTCTCTTTTTCTTGCCGGACAATTACGTTACATTAAATACATCTATTCTAATATCGATACCATTAGTCCGTGCTTTTTTATATTTTACTGTTAGCCATCGTAGCACTGTGTTTTCTGTCCCTTTTTGTGTAAACAAACAGCTTGTACGTTTAGTATACTAATATTAATTTTTTACGATATTAATGTTAACACGTACTCTATATAGTAAAAATAATATTTGTACCTTTTTTATTAACTTCTCTGCTCTTTTGTGTAAATAAATAGAGTGTGTTTTTATTAATCCTAGAATACTAACGTCAATCTTTTATGAAATGTATCCCAAGCAGTAAAAATAATATTTGTATCTCTTTTATTAACTTCATTAGCGTAGAAACTGTAGAAATTGTTTACCTTAAATTCAAAATAAATTAATACACATTTAATGATATTTCTGAAGTGAGAATATGAAAAGAAAAATACAGTATATGAAGAAACTTAAGAAGGAATCCCTTGGGGCACTGTATCATTTAACTATTCTAGGATTAAATAAATTGTTAGAAAATTATTCAAATAAATCTACCGTTTAGAAAATATTATCACATGTTATGTAAAAATACTAACAATAAATATTAAGATAATGCTGAAATTACTGGTATCCAAGAATATTTAATAATACTAAAAATGCAATCTAGTATGAAATTAGAAACATTCTGAGTGTTAAACAGAATGTTTTTTTCTTGTTTACATAAAGCGAGAAATAATATATGTATAAAATTCTAAGCAACTAGACTACGAAACTTTCTGCTCTAAAGTACTGCATATTTTTGTATATTTTTTACGTACGTATACATTATGTGCACTCCATAAAACTTTTCCTATATTTCTCACCAGTAATGTTCGTGCCGATGAACGTAGTCGAATACAAAAACGGTTCCCGCGTCTGGCTTCTTCTAATGGTTCGACATAGTTACGCAGATTAACGGATCGTTATTGAATATCGAAGTACTACGTACACTACGGTCGCGAATGCTATCCTCAAAAGGATGCATATGCACTTTAAACGTCATACTGCAATATTCACAAACGACGATAAATTTCCGTAATTAGTGGAACTCAATCGTGATGGAGATGATTCCATATGCAAAAATAAATAAAAAATACAGAATAAAATTTTTTCACAAAAGACTTAATTTTCCGGAGAATTAAATTTAATTTGAATTTTATTTTATTCCATATTTTTGGCCTATTTTTGCATGCAGAATCGTCCCTTTTACGGTTTTACTATCATTTATAGAACACCTTGTTTAAAATAAAATATTGCAATATTCTCCATTAACTCTTAAATCATTTGAACGATCTGGACCAAATTTTGCATAGGTATTCTTCGATTTTAAAATTTCCACAAATGTTAATATTCTAAATTTGAGAATAAAAATAAAAATCCCATAGAATGAAATGGCTCGTTAACTCCAAGTGCATATTTAATCATTTCGAAAAGCAATTATCAATAGCACGAAGCTCGAATAAAGATTACAACGGTATGTAAGTAGTATTACAGAGAAATGTCAGGTAATAGAATTTCGTGTCACATTTTTTCACGCTCCCTTATAGAAAGAGAATTTTATAAAGGACGTGATTGATGAAGCGATTCTTGATTCCACTGATACAGTCTGCCTAAATGGAAAATAACGTGGTGGTATTTGAAAACACGTATCGATCATCGCGTACTAAATTGAGCGTCACTGTACGATGAATAGAACAAAGTATGGTGTCATTGTAAACGGCCACGAATGTAATTTATCACAGGGTACGGAAATTAAGAAAAATTACTGACCTACTTTGCTTAATTACACCGATTACAGAATCTGTTCTTTAGAGGCGATGTTACCTACGGAAATTTGTTATATTACATTGCAATTGAAACGCTTCATTTTCGGGAAAATTGAATTCCATATTTTCTGAATTTAATTTTATTATATACTTTATAGTTTTCATTTACTTTAATGAACTTATTAATCGAGTCTCTTCTTGAGAAAATATACAACTTCTATTCTTAAATTAAACCATTTTTCTTTTCGTTTGAGGAAAATTTCTACGATCATCGTCAAAATATTGCAGAATCATTATTTCAATTATAAGTTATTCAAGAAATAAATTATGCCAAAATTTGATATTGTTTTATAAGAAAAATTTACCGTAATATATTATTGATGGTAGATAAATTATTGATGGTAGAATTTAAGTTCCTTATTATTTAAGTACGACTTCAAAACCGTAACCAACAAGTTCCATTTCACATTTCTGTGCTATATTTAACAAGGTATTCTTGTAATCACGCTGAAACTTTTGGCAATATTCACGATTTTTTTGTTGATGTGTACTAAACTTATTAAGCAACTTATAAAGCATGCAAAGCAATTTTTAAACAGCTTTTCAATTACTTATTTAATGCTACACCTGGAGATAAAGACAACGCCTCTAAAATCCTGAAAGTTACATTTATATCCTCCAAAAAATTGAAACTTTTCACTTAGCAATTACCTAGGAAAAAAATTCCTAAATGTCACCCTTTTTAGACACCTCAGGGTGGCATACACCCTTAAACAAGAATCGTCCCTTACTAACCTACGCCAAATATTTTCAACAACAGTCCATTTCATCGCAGAGTACTCGTTCCTTAACGAACATTATTCAGAAAATGTTCCCGGATAAAAGAAATTCACTGGAGCTTTTCATACGTAATACGCGCGAGTTCCGGAGAACCCTTGACGTTAGCCGAGAGTCTTGTAACGAGCTTAACAACTAAAGAAGCCCTATCGACGTGATCCACGACGATGCATAGGAGAGAAACTCTCCGGCGAACAGTTGGTGACGATCGTTTCGTACGCCACGACAGAGAAAATTCCGCGGGGACAGGAAAAGCCTGTTGGAAAGGTGGAATTATCTGGTGGCAACTCAGCGTCGAATCGCGTGATTCGGTAAACTCGTTCGGTTGATCGGCGGAAAACTGATCTATCAGGGTGAGTTCTCTCGCGCGATGGAAACTCCACGCGTCCAAGTAATTTAGTTTCGGTCAACTTCATAAAGCACGTCCAACTTTTGTATCGGGCGCCGGGGAGAAGGAGTGAAAATGAAAAACAGTCGGTGAAGAATGATCGATTAACTGTGAAATTGTGTTCGTGATAACGGGCATTCGAAGTTGCGGCCCGCGATAACCGTTATTTGCGCTGTTTCCAATTTCTTTCCAATATACCTCACATTTTATGGTGAATTGTTTATTTTGGTAGAATTTTGTCGGAAAATTGGCGAAATATCGTTAGAAAAATTGAAAGGTGATTATCTTAATATTATGACAGAATGCGTGAGAAAAATTCCTGGATTCTGAGCTTAATAATTTATCGACGGAATGGAAGACAGAAAAAAGGTACCTAATCCTGATACAAAGATAAGTGACACCAAATGTCTAAATTTCTTAAAATTAAAAAAAATAGTTCAATTCATATAATTCCAATATTTTTGCTATTTCTTCAAACATTTCTGTAAGTTCCTTTTTTTAAAATTTTGAATTAAAATTTATTTGTTCAATTTGAAACATTTTGGAAATTTGGCGTCACTCGGCAAGATTGCAAACTTAAGAAGATTTCACACTTTTCTCTTTACTGTTTTCCATTCCATTACGATCAATTTGTTAAACACAGAGCCTGAGAATTTTTGGTACATAAAAATCTGAATTGGTAGAATTGTTTAGGAAAACGTGGATCGAAATAAAATATGGTAAATTCGTCTTGGTTCAACGAAAGAATCAAAGTCAGAATAAACACGTGATCGACGAAAGCTAATGTACTCGAGAAACATAATTCTGATAAGCATAGGAAACACCATTGTGCGTACAACAGACCTGTCCTTCATGGATAATCACTTCCCTTTGTTACACCTTCCTTTCTTCCCGATCGCTGATTACGTTTTCATATCGATTTATTTAACTTCGCTCGTCAACCTGACATCTGACGTTGGAAACTACTTAAACTTGCATTATCCTCCGTGATTGAATTCGACGTCGCCAACGTTTAATCTTCAACATTTATTCCGATATGAGAGCGTGGTTTGGGAACGTCTGAGACGGATCTGTGAATTGTTCGAATCGTGTTAGCGACTCGGGTAACGAAATTTTTAGTAAAATTCATTGCTGAAGGAAGACTGTTGCAGAAAGCAAAATTTGAAACTTAGAGAGAAAATTGAAGGATGCATTTGCACAGGTGTTATAGTTTATGGTGTCTGAAAGTGCCTGCGACTGCAAAATATCAAAGTAAAAAAAGAAATTAGTTAGGATAATAAAATTATGTTTCAATATAAAAACTTTGTAAAATAAAAATCTTCAAGTCAAGAAAAGTTATATGTCACTTTCAATATATATAAATTAATTATCAATACTTGTTCAATCCCATTCTGTCGCGAAGATTACAAAAATTTCCATAAGGAAAAACGATCGAGATATAGTAATCCAATAAAGTTTTATTAGATCACCTTAGGCTACTTGCTAAGGCAGCACAATCTTACGGAATACTTTTCGAGAAATTGTTTATTTATGCAAGGTATCAACGCTAGCTTTCGATGGCAACTTTAAATCACGTTTAAACGGACCGAGGAAGGGTCGAACCAGTTTCAAGTTGAGAAGGAAAAATTTAACAGCGTACACTTTGCTATCCTGCTTATACGAAAACAAGCTTATATTTATTCATGAGACAATTACAATATGCTGATCTCGTTGCGATGCAATTTCGGGGATTGAACTCGCACCGCTCCATGATATTTCGTTTACGACTTTTCTACCACCTTCAATTTTATTCAAATAAGGAAACGAAAAAAAAAAACAGAAGTTTATAAATGGTACGTTGAAATTGACGAAATCTTCAAATTTATCGTGGAATAATTTCAATTCCAGCAAAATGGAAATTAGGTAATATTAAATACTAGAGAAAGGATTTGTAGAAGGACGCGAGAGGCATAAGAGAGAGAAAATGGAACGACGAACAATACTGTACTCATGAAGACTCCCTACAATTGTCTCTTAGTTAACAGCTAACTATTTTTGCCACAGGCATCCCAACTTTTGCCATACATTATTCCAGTTTCAACGGAAATAATGGAAGGCCAAACTTCGGTAATTAGGGGCTCGATAGAAAGGTCCAAGTTTTAGGGAAGAAACAAGACCGAGACAAAGAGATAGGATTCTATTCTACCCAATGACATACTGACACTCTTCTCCATAATTTCGCAATAGAATTTTCCAAGTTTCTTCTTATGTATTTCTACTGAATTCGTAATTAATTTAACTAAATATTGAAATGTCCTTGCACATTCGAGTGTTTTAAATCTGAACACAGTATTGTCTGAGGAACTGACAAGATCTAAGCCTCATTTTTAATAAATTGTTTTAATATTTTAATTTAATTATTTGTTATTATTTACATATC